GGAGAGGGAGGGAGAGGGAGGGAGAGGGAGAGAGGGAGAACAGTGACCCTTTGTTCATATTAATACTGATATTTACTGCTGTCTCTATTAATTTGGGATATAGAAAAAGTCTGGAACCATTATTCTCTTTTCTCCAAAGATTCACTTTAATTTTTTTCTCATATTCTCTTTAAAAAACATACAGTTCTCTAGAGTTTCAGAGTCTCAGGCTTACAGTGAATACTACTGATATGAAGATGTCTTCTTGTAATACCTCTTAGCTCAGTTTCTAAATTGCAGCATTGCACTATGCCTTCATGTTTTGGGAACGTTTGAGGACTGGCTGCATTACGTCAATATTTCTGAAGCACATATTCTGGAAAAATCTTTCTAATACAGACCTCTTTTGCTTTGAAAAGGTGGGATAAGGCTGTTTACTAAAGTTCTTGTTTGTTATTCTTCCTTGGCACCCAGTAGATCTGTAGTCCCCAGCTTCTCTCAAAGTTAGATATGGCCTAATCATTAAACTCTAGTCAGTGGATCACATGAGGACATGATAGCATTTTGTTCAGGGTTGATCCATAAAGCCCTCTTCTGAGGGCTTGCCAATGCTCTCATTTGCTTTCTTTTTAAATTTTTAATTGAATTTATTGGTACATTCTAGGCATACAGTACAGTTACATTCATTACTGGGATCTTGTACATTTACATGCCAGGTCTTGGTTCTCATTTTTTCCCCTTGTCCCCAACCTCCCTTCCCCCCCTCCTCCCCTCCTCCCCTCCTCCCCTTCAAACACTTTAATTCCACTTTTACATTTTCTCATATTTTTTTCCTTTTCCCTTATTCCCCTTTCCCTATCCTTCTCACTGTCCCTACATCTTTGGTCCTTTTCTTCCTATTTCACATTGCTAATTGACCCTTTAGGATCTTGAGTACTATTTTAGTTTTTCACACCAGAGAAACTATTCGGCATTTGCATATGTGTGACTTATTTATTTCACTTAGGAGTATATCCTTAAAATGTACCCACTTACCTATGAATAAATCTACTTTCTCATTCTTTATAGCTGAGTAGTATTCCATATTATAGAAAAACCACATATTCTTTATCCAGTTTCCAAATGATGGGCAGATGGGTTGTTTCCAAGTTTTAGCTATTACAAACTGTGCCACTACAAATATGGGTGTGCGTATATCACTGTGATATGATTCTTTTAATTCTTTTGGAAAGATACCCAACAGAGGGATGGCTGGGTCAAATGGAACCTCTAGTCCCAGCTCTTTGAGATATCTCCATATTGACTTCCATCATGGTTGCACCAGTCTGCACTCCCACCAACAATGGAGAAGGGCTCCTTTCTCCCCACAACTGCACCAACATTTGTTGCTGTGTGATTTCTTGATAGCAGCCATTCTTTGTGGGGTGAGGTGAAATCTCAGTGTTGTTTTCATTTTGTGGATGGTGTAGAGAAAACAATCACACTCTTGTAGGCAACAGGTTGAAAAACAGAATCCATTTGACTGAATCCCTGAATGTCTACGTGAATCAGCTGCCCCTTTCACCAGGAATCCCTGCAATTATTTACACAAGGAAAAATACACTTTAAAAATTGTGAGTCATTACATATGTTTGGGTCTACATATTACAGAAGCTAGCATTATTTAACTTAATCAAAAGCTTTTCTAGAGGAACTCTGTATGGGCCAAATGAGCTGGGCTATACCATCCCTGCTCATACTATCCATGGTTCTCAAAAATTTCTCTTGAAAGTTTGAAGTTCATTATCTAGGCTTAGATTTTTGACTTATAATGTTAAATTAGCTTCAGAAAATGAAATCAGGATTCCCCTAGGAATGTGCATAGCCAGTATAGTCATCCATTTGTTTCCACAGGGGATGATTTCAAGGGTCCTAGAGAGTAGCAAACTCCAAGGATGCTCCAGTTTCTTGTATAAGATGGCAAGGGACAGGGATTTAGCTTAGTGCTTCTATACCTGCCTAGCAAGTGCAAATTCAATCCCTGGTATCAAAATAATAATAATAATAATAATAATAATAATAATAATAAGGCATACGTAAGTGTTCCTTGGGGTTATGCCTCAATAAAATCATCCCAAATTGAAAATATCTTATGTCAAAAGGCATTTATTGCCCTTAACATTGCAACTTTACAACAAAATACACAAACAATACATTACATGATGGCATGGCTTACCAGGATCTGTGACTTCCTGCCACTGCCCAGCCTCACAGGAAAGTATTATACTACTTCTTGCTAACCAAGGAAAAGATCAAAATTGAAAATTCTAAGTAGAGTTTCTACTAAATGCATATCAACTTTAATACCTTCATAAAGTGAAACTTCCTAAGTTGAACCATCCATAAGTTGAGAATTACCACTATTTGTATATAATGTATGCACATCCTTCATATACACTAAATCATTTCTGCATGAATTATATCTAACACAATGGAAGTTCTATGTAAATTATTGCTATGCTTAAAGAATAATATTGCTTAAAGAATAATGACATAAAAACAGTTTCTTCATATTCAGTACTGATGCAGGTTTTTTAAAAATACTTGATTTTTGGGTAGTTGAATCTGCAGATGAAGAATTCTGGATACATTGGGCCAACTGAATACTACTATAATCCAAAATGGGTACATCTTTTAATTAAAAAGTCAAAACAAAATAAAATCTTTGCCTGCACTTATATGCCAATTCCAAATTTTACTTCCTGATGACTCAGGCACAGCATCTTCTGTCTTGACTTTAACATTGTAAAATATGGATAAAAATTTGTGCTAATTCATATAAAGCATTTAGGTTAATGTCTGGCACATACTAAGTGCTCAAGAAATAAGCTGCTATTCTAGAAATTCCATCATTTCATGGATTTATTCTACAAATATGCATCGCCACATGCTTCATGTGGTCAGTTCCTGTGGTTGGTTGGCTGGAGTTTCTGAGGAGTGAGTATTGGACAGAGAGAGACATAAACAACCTCATTAGGCTGAGATGTGGAAGAGAATTCTAGAGTGAAACCTCAAGCAACGCATTTTTATATATCTACCAGGGTTAAATCCTATTAAACTCTGACAAGCTCCCCATTCATTCATTAATTCATTCAGCAAACCATAGAATACATGAAAGGCACAGAAACAGATATCATCAAAGATGATAACTATTTCTAGTGACTATGGCTATGGTGTTTTCTAGAAGACTCAGAAATCCTGAAAACCTTTTGAGGAAGCATGGAGCACACTAAAGTGCAGATACTCACGATTTTGCCTCCTGCCAACTCAGAAACATTCTGGCCATTTTCCTCTAGCATTGGTTGTTTCAGGTTGCCAAAATCAGGGCTCATGAGGGTGCAAGGCAAGTGCTTTAGTGTTTGCAACTGACCCACCCAAAGACCTAGCCTGACTCTGACTCCCTTCCAAGGAAGAGAACAGAGTTGGCTGCCATGTGGAAAAGAGGGCCTGCCCTGCCAGTTCTTCTAACTTATCCAGAGAAAAATCACATTGTGGTTTCCTTTACAGGAGAAAATCTTTCAGTTATTTTATAAATCAAGATTTTTTAAATATAAAAATGTCCAAGTTTTAAACATTCACAAATCCTTTTAAAAATGTGTTTTGGCTGTGCATGTCCACCAGAACCCAATGGTGGGCCAGACCTGGCACATAGAGTGCCAGCCTCAAACCTCTGGCTTGTTTACTTGGTAGGAGCGAAGGGGATTTTGGCAGATGGAGAGTGAGAATCACTAGCAGCAAATCTTTTATTGAAAAGAAAACAAATCAAAACAAAAACAGGGAGGAGTCCAGGGCTCTGGGAAGGAAGCCACCTCCCTCCTACTTTTGTAGGACATGGATGCCAACATGGCAGGGTAGCCCAGCCACACAGCACTCGGCACCATCATCACCCCATGGAAATTAGCAGTTTTTTCAGAGGCAAGAAGCTTTCAAAGCCATTTTACCAATATGAATTTTGTCCAAGTGATCACTGGGGAGAATACACAGACAGACTACAATAAAATTAAAAATAACTTTGGAAGGAAATAGTATACTGGAAAGATTCATTACAGAAGTTCAAACAAGGGTCCATATGTTTCTCTACTCTTTATGGTGGAACATACAGAGGCCCGGTAATAAAACGAGGCAGGGAGGGGGTGGAATGGGGCTCGCTGGTAGGCATAGGATATGATCCAAACAGCAGATAAATAACCAAGATGTCTTTATGATGATATAGGCACTTGCCTCCTGAGCTAGCAGAACTTTCCTCAGTGATATACATTTGCAATGATGTTTTAATTAACGTTGGCTGACTGTGATAAGAAATGAATCATTTGTCTGCCTCTGTTTTCTCTGTCCATCTCCCCAGCCCCCATCCCGTCTTAGTCTTTAAGTAAACCCACAGAATCTGTTCCCTCTGGATGTACGCCTCCATCTAACTTTATTGTTTGGAATCAGAAGTCCCTGGTGATTTCCAGGTTGACTCAAGGTTACATGGATTTGATATAAGAACCTACCCAGAAGTTATGTTTCCTAATAATTTAAGAGAATTACATTTATTCTCAAAGTCTGTCCTACACTGTATACAATGTAAAATTTTATTTTATCCTTGAGATAATAAATTTTCCTATAAATTCCAGAACACATTAGCTGTTTTAGACAAGTTTTTGAGCGTCTGAAGGGGTGGAGGGGAGAGGAGGAAATGTGTCATTCTCTCTCTGTCTTCTGTGCATGTGTGTGTGTCTCTGTCTCTGTGTCTGCTTCTGTCTCTCTGTCTCTCTGTCTCATCTCTCCCCCCTTACACACACACACACACACACACACACACACACAATTATACCCATTAAAAATCTCTCACAGCATATATGTCAATGCACTTTTTGTTTATACATTGTGATACAGGCCTCCATCATTGAAGCTGATGCCAAAAATTTAGGATGTAAATTCTAAATTTACATTTCTAGGATGTAAATTCTTTCGCTTACTGCGAAAGAAAGGCTAAGATGACTTTGTACCCTTTAAACATTAGAAGATTCATATTAATTTGCCTTTGTAATGAAAGAAACTATCTTTCCTTTCTAAATTTATCTTGCAAAAAGCCCTGGCTGGACTCAATATGAAACACGTTTCATAGGAGATGTTTAAGAATCAGTACATAAAGGGGGGAGAGACAGAGAGGGAAAGAGAGAGGGAGAAAGAGACAGAGAGAGAAGACAAGGAAGAGAGAGGAAAGAAATAAGGAAGAAAATAAGAAATGAAGGAAAGGACGGGAAGGGAGGGAAGGGGAGGGAAAGGAAGAGAAGGGCAAACCTTTCTGATGTCCTCTCAGCTAGGGAGATACGTGACGTTTCCACGGTTGATGTTTTCACTTGGACCACCTTTAAGATTTTAGTCTGTTTCTTTCCATCATTTCCTAGTTAATCTTATGTTTAAGCCCTAATAAAATCCAAATTTATGGGGATCAGGCTTGTCACCAGCCTTTCATTACTGCCAGTTTCTCTTCAATTTCATCTAACTCAGTCTGGGGGCATTTAAAAATGTTTTATCACACTTGCTAGGGACATTTTGTGTAGTCTCCAACAAGCCAAATATGACCATTTTGAAATTAACCAAGACCCAAGACTGAGATCAGTGCCTGAGGTATAGAAAGTGCTTTAGAGAGAGACACAGAGTCTTCGGGGGCCCCAGACCCTCGTGTTTTAATCAGGAAAGGCGGGTGGCAGGTCACAAAGATTAGGTTTAAGCTTCCTGATATACATCGGATCTCTTGCCCTTTCAACCCTCCGGCAGTGTGAGGAGGCATTCTTTCTGAAACCCATAAATTAGAGACCAAGGTTTCTTTGCAAAGTATAATGACAAGATGACAGAGTTCCCATGAAGCCTAACTCTTTATCCCTCGACATGAGATTTTTATTTATTTTCTTTGGAGCATTAAGCCACGATTGGTGGGTCAATGTATTTTTTTTTTAATGAAAAAATGCTCTGATCATGAAGGCTTTCTGCTAAGATTTAAGACCCCCCCAAAAAAAATCCCCAAATGACTCTTCCCCATTTCAAAATACACTAGGTAACTTATTTAGGTTCAGAGTGTTGTATACAATGTAAATCCATCCAGGCTGAAGTTAAAACAAAACAAAACAAAACAAAAAATAGGACATGTAAAGCTGGTTTCTATATTGTTTGGACATAACACTGTTCTCAAGTGAAGTCATAAGGGAACAGGGTACTTAAAATAGGGTGTCACATTTCAAGGTAATAAATAGCAGATTGATTCTACTTCCCAATTGATCCTGCAGTTTACTTATACACAAGATGGAAAAGAAAGTACCAAAGCCACTGTGATTTACTTTGTAGAAATGAGACACTCCGTATTAACTTAAGTGAATGCAAAGGGCAGTGCTCACAATTTATTACAGGCTCAGTCCAAATGCAGTTAGGATCAAGTTGCTCTATTGGCACACACATATTGCCGTGCTTTTAGCATTTCTACAATTAAGCACATTTTAAGCCTCTTTATTCCTTAATGCACATGCTCTTCAAACTAGCCTTGTCATCCAACCATGGAAATCCTCTCCCTTTCTTTCTTAGCAAAGATTCCATTAAATAATGGGACATCGTACTGTCCTTCTCTATAAAGCAGTAGTTCTCACTGTTTGGAAACTGAGATGTGATGTAGCTGTTTTTCCAATTCCCTTGATCTTTTCCTTGCTTCCAAGAGCAGTGTCTAATAATGCCATCATTTTTTAATATGGACTGAAAACATTTTTCTTACAAGGATTTCCAAGAATCCTCTTGGGTGCCCTTATACATGATTTTAAGATTAGAAAAGTTGTCCTGGCTCTAGACCAGCTGGTTCACATTTGAAGGCCTGATGTAGTGCTTTATTCCTGGACAAAACAGTGCTCGTGCTCAGTGGTAAACAGTACTGAAAGTTAATTTTGGGGAGTTCTCACAATGTGTAACAAACTGTGATACATTCTTGTCAATTCTCATGGTAGTACTCAAAGTAGGTGCTATTACTATGTACATTTGCAGAGTGAAAACTGAAGCTTAGAGGGATCCAGCAACAGCCACACCCAGGCCATCCATGATCTTGACCAGTGTTGTACAATGTGTCCAAGAAGAGCTCATGGCTATTGTCCAATACTCTGAGATACTAAGAAGAAAGAGTTCTTCTCAGAGCCACTGTTAGGAATTCTCCATTAACCAGTTTCATTACATCAAGTGACTCACCCTACACATGCACTTAGTTTGATGGCT